ATGCGTGACAGAAGCTGAGCGCGCTCTATTCAAACAAGGAGAGCTGTTGGTCAGGCTACTTCTTGTTGCTCTCTAAAACAGTTACTGAATCAAGTGTTTACATATGTAGGTAAACGTAGATGTTTAACAACCTGCTAAAATACACCAGAATGAAGAAAATGGCATCTACTTCATTCAAAATTTTATTCACCTACCACCACCACCATTGTCCCCCATGTTTTAACATGATACACTAGATATACTGCAGTGCATGTGTCAAAAATATTCTAACGTGCAAAATGTTGGGTACATTACCGGGAGCTAGCCACACTAGCAGCTGCCTAGCTCTGGATAGCTCAGATGCTAAATATAGCATATTAAAATCTACAAAATGTACAAAATATATTTCAAACTTAGCAATTGTTTTATCTTTTGTGAAATATATGATAATTTGTAAATTATTTGACAAAAATATGATTTATTCATGCTATAAGCTAAGGGCCTTTTAGCTTGGAACATTAGCCTTTCTGCTTTCTGTCGGAGAAGAGAGGGACATTATCTTACATTTTTGTTTAATTAAATACGTTCCAAATTATGCTTTAATAAATTTCTCATTCATTGCTTGGTTGTTTGTGTAACGTTAGAGGCACAAAAGATAGCATTAAGTGTTTATGGATATAGATTGGGGCCACATCAGACAAAAAAATAAAATAAAATAAAATCTCAGAATTCTGTTGTTGTTGTTTTTTTTTTAAGTCTGAATTCTGACTTTGGTCTCAGAATTTTTGGGGGAAAAAAATAATAATTAAAATTTTACCACGGTGGTCCTGATTCTCTTCTGTAAGTTTTTAATACTCAAAAAGATTTTTTTTAAGCAGTTTCAATTGCATAGGTCATACGACAGACATATTTTAATTTAATTTAATCCATTCAGTTATTTTTACTTTGTATTTAATTGTGTGCTTATTGGTTCCAATTCCCAGTTTGTAACACATCTGTATTTGAGTTTCCATGTGAATGTTCCAGTGTAGCGCCCGCACCTCTGAATCATGTTGTGCAGGAAGCGGCGGTGGTTGACCTGTCGTTTGGACGGTCGGTTCTTGCGGGGTTTCTGAAGGGTCCTCATCATATGACCTGCTGCTGAAGTCACAAAGGTGTAGAGGTCACGACCCCAGGGGACACCTCGCTCCAATCCAGGCTCCAGCACTGACAGGGATGGTCGCATGGCTGAGAAAAACAAGCACGTTTCCAACATCTTATCTAGCGAGACAGCAAAGTGCTTCACAATGAATAAAAGTCCATAGCTTTAAATAAAAAAATCAAGAAGTGTATAAATAACATAAAATAGATACATAAAAGTCTACAATGGTTGTTTTCATTTGTTGTTTTGACAAAATATAAATATATTTACAGTGTAAACCTAAGAACATATTTAACATATACTATTTTTTCTGGTAGTCATTCAAATTTTGTAAGTATTATCATTTATTGTTTAAATATCTTGATGACAAAAGCAGAGCTGAAAAAAAAAAGTTGCACAAATACTATCCATTTTTTAGTTTAGTCAAAGTAAGATAAGTTCTTTTTCTTCTGATTTAAACATTAAATAATAAAATGATGATCAGGGTTCAAGGAGACGTTATTGTCATTCGCATGTGGTACTTGAGGTGGAATGAAATTGTACTCAAGGTCCCAGTTACGCCTAAAAATAGCAAAAATATAAGGAATATAAAAAAGAAACATTATACAAGGGTCTAAGCTATACACTACAGCAGCCTGATGATTAAATTATTATGATTAAAATGATCAAACTTAATTTTTCCACACTTTAATTCTCAGGTTAAGAACAAAATTATTTCTAGACTTTACCCCTGACTATTTCAAAATTGTGAATTCTAATTAAATAAAATGTATTTCCTGATTTGTTTGCAATCATTTGATTTAATGTTGGCATAAAATCCTCCACAGCTCCAGCCAAGTCTCTGTGGAGACAGGAAGTTTTTCCACAAAGAAATTATCAACATTTATACATTTTCAACAAACTTTCAAGCTGTTTGATTTGAGTTAGTATTTGTGATAAATTACTCAGCTCAAATAAAAAGTTAGATTTTTTTAAAATAATTTCCCCTTGAATAAAATTAAAACTTTTATTGAATGCATTTTTTTAATCATTGTCTGTTTACAAATTAATAGTCTGAAACTGTCAGCTGTTAAAATATAAGATTTGAACAATAATACACACAAAGAACTTAAAGCAAATATTCCTGCACTTCTGAATACTCAAAATTACTTTTTAACGCTTTTTAAACATGCTTAGTAAATGCATGCACAAAGTAAAAAATGATAATTATTATATATATTATTTTTGAATGAATGAAAATTATTATATTATTATATATTTATTTATTATATATTTTAATCAAAAAATATTTTTGTGTTTGTGTAAAGTGTACTGAAAAAAATACACCCAACACTCCAAAGTAAAGTACCACAAAATTTTATGAAAAAATAAAATATATTAAATGTTAAAAGAAAAGTTTCCAGTCTTTTTTCATTCACTTCGTCTAAAAAAAATATAATCTAATTAATTTAAACACATTTTAAGAGCCGTATTTTAAGATTTCATGACTGCTGAGCTTAATGCCACAAAAGAAACCAATCATTTATTTATTGCTTCAGCTGATAACTTGTACACACGACTGCACTAAAACCGTCTCTATATTCTGTCAAATAAAATAAAGTCTTACCTCTTTGCCTTCAGGCTGCAGCTGTCAGTACCTCCCTGCAAGCTGCATTGAACTCAGAGGAGGTGGGCTGCTTCAGAAGGGAGGAGCGGTGAGTAAACTATTGACGTGTGCGTGCGTTTATTGTGTTCCTGCGTGCACGGATCCAGTTGAGAAACATTAGCGCTCATTAATGCATTAATTCCCTTTTCTCTAACAGAACGAATGGAAGCCACATGGACAAACTGATGCGGGACGAGAGGCTCTGCAGACAAGAGTGACAATTATTGGAAAAGTCAACCGCTTGTGGACGTGTGGGCGCACGTCTTCAGTGTATAAAAGGCGGCTTGTTCAACGCTGGGAGACACAAACACACCAGTTGAAGGCTGTTAACGAGGCCCCCTAATTGTTTGACCTAAACTCTGGGCCCAATTATCACATTCTCTGAGGGAAGAGATAAGATGGTTGCCAGTGGCTTTAATTGACCTTTTCATTTCTATAGCTCGCCTTCCAAGTGCAGGATTTAACATATCTATGGCAGCAGGTTTACAAATGGGCCGTCAGTTGTTACACACATTGGAAACACTAAAGAATAAATAAAATACACCTCTAAGTATGAGGCCTTGATTCTCAAACAGAAATGGGTGGACTGCCCCTCCAGGTCAGGAGGGAGTCTTTGCCTCAAGTGGAGTTCTGAGCGCTTTGTTCATGGGTGATGGTTGGATGGAGCGGGAGGTGGATCGGGACCTCATCCTAAGTAATAAGGGTGTTGCTTTGGTCGGTCGTGGTGAAGAAAGAGTTGAGTCGAAAGGCAAAGCTCGTGATTTACTGCTCTGTCTGTGTTTCAACCCTCACCTGTAGTCATGAGGTTTTTGGATCATGACAGAACGAGATTTTGGCTAGAAGCATCCAAAATCAGCTTCCTTCGTAGCTGAGCTCGTCCTTAGAGATAAGGTGAGGAGCTCCGTCATCCGGGGGAACTTGAGTAGAACCGTTGCTCCTTCGCATCAAATGGAGTCAGTTGAAGTGATTCAGGACACCTCCCTTTGGAGGTTTTCCAGATGTTGAAGAGGCTGACCCAGAGCTCACCAGAGGGATTATACCCTCTCTCCGACCTGGGATGTCTGGGTTTCTCTTCTGGACCAGTTGCCTCCACAACCCGACCACAAATAAAAGAAAGAAAATGGAGATGGAGCAGTTTTATATTCAGTGACTTGAAGCTGTTACCACATTTTCTATTTTATGTCTTCCAACATCAAGGCTGAGGAACGGCTTGTACCCTGAGGCTTTTAGACTCATGAATCCCTAGTCAGGATTATCACTGTGAAAATTATTGTGAAAAAAATCCCTGTGAAAAATCACTGTAGTGCCACTTGGTTGTTGATATGTGCTGCTGATCTCATGCTGCTGATATATTTCATGTTGCTGTGTTCATTCGTCCTCATCTCAGACTCATGTTCGTGCTGCTGTTGTTTGGCGCATTGTTTTGTACTATTAGTGCTTAGTGTATTATTAGTTTAATGTATTCTTAGTTCATGTCTTGGATCTTACTACTGTTTTCCTTTACAATTTGTGCTTTTGTTGGATGTAACTGGGACCCTATGCACATAGTTTTGCTCCACCTCATAGCACGTGATGTGAACGACTATAATAATTAAAAAACAACTTGAATTCTTGAATCATTTAGTAAACATTTAATATGTTTGTCAATTAAGGCTGTTTAATTTTACATTCCATACTGAACACATAACGGTATTAAAAATAAATAACACAATCTGAATTATTTTTTATGCTCACTAGTTATAGTACAACTTCACTGCTCCAGGGTTATGAATGCAACAACTCCAGCTGATTTTTAACACAAAAACTCAGCTCGTCTCTGATATTCTAAAGATTATGTGAAAAATTTTGCTTCAAGGAGTGATCCGCTGTTGAGGAGTGGCATCTATTTATAGTGACACCACATGTGCTCGTGACCAGAGGGGACCGCACAGTTTACCGACCGGTGTGGGCTCATCTTTAAATCTAAAACCTGTAGTGAGTCCTGTTTACACTTTGGCACAGACGCTTAAAAAAAGCGTTTCTTTTTTTTCTAAGTCACATGTGGTGTTTTCACACATCTCTGCCACTGGACTGATACGTTTTATCACACCTCCCCTGCAACAGAGGCAGAACTTTGACCCGGTGAAAAGACCTCTGTCACTTGTAACTCCGTTCTTCATGCTCCGTGTTCAGGAGAATCCATAAGAAAAGAGTGTGTTTTTGTGGATTTGGGGAATTGGAAGTAAAGGCAGAGAAGAGAAGAGCCACACCGAGAGGTAACTTTAACTACTTTTACCTCCAAAAAGCAGTGACTGTGCTTTGAAAATGTATCCAAACCTCTTAAATTTTGGGACATTTTCTCACTTTATTAAGCATTTTAATGGGATTGTATGGGATAAAGGGAGGATGTGGAGGTGGATAGAAATTACATGGTTTTCACACTTTTTATACAAATAAAAAAAACTGAAAAGCATTTGTATGCAACCCCCCCACCCTCACCCCCGGATATATGTTTTTTTGTTTTGCCATTTGCTACTGTTCTTCATCTTTCGGCTTTTGCCTCTTCAGGGGTCACCACAGCAAGTCATCCTCCTCCATCTCACTCTGTCCTCACTCCAACTACCTCCATGTCCTCTCTAACTGCATCCATACTGTATATCTATTCTTTGTTTTTGTCCTATCAGCTGCATTTCTAACATCCTTCTACCAATATACCCACTGTCCCTCCTCTGGACATGTCCAAACCATCTCAGTCTGGTCTCTCTAACTTTATCTCCCAGTTGTTCAACCTGTGCTGTACCTCTGATGATCTCATTCCTAATCTTATCCATCCTTGTCACTCCTAAGGAGAACCTCAACATCTTCCTTTCTGCCACTTCCAGTTCTTTCTCCTCTGCATCACTTGCTGCAGTTACAGCTACAAATCTGTTTGGTCTCTCCCAGCTTAGCACATAAAGAGACCTAAATTTTGTCCCATTCTTCTTTGTAAAACAGCTCAGTCAGATGGATGTTTGTAGAGTGTCTGTGAACAGTGGTTTTTAAGTCTTTTACGTTAGTTTTAGGTCTGGACTTTAACTGGGCCATTCCAACACATGAACATGCTTTCACTGTAGCTCTGGCTGTTTCGGGTCATTGTCCCGCTGGAAGGTGAACGTCCACCCCAGTCTCAAGTCTTTTGCAGCCTCTAACAGTCCTCGATTGTATTTAGCTCCAACCATCTTCCCTGCTGAAGAAGACATCCCCCTGCATGATGCTCTACCACTGTGTTTCACAGTGGGGATGGTATATTCAAGATGGCCAAAGAGTTGAATTTAGGACTTTAGGTTCTTCTGAGCAGAGCAGCTTCATATGTTTGTTGTGTCTCCTACATGGCTTATGCCAAACTGCAATCAGAACTTCTTCTGACTTTCCTTTTACCTCTTTTTCCATAAAAAAACGATTTGTGGAGTCCACGACTAATAGTTAATCTGTTACCTGAGCTGTTGATCTCTGCAGCTCCTCCAGAGTTATAATGAGCTCCTTGGATGCGTCTCAGATTAATGTTTTCCTTTTCAGTGTCTGTGGACGGCCATGTCTTGGTAGGTTTACATCTGGGCTGTATTCTTTCCATACTGGATCATAGATTGAACAGAGCTCATTAAGATATTCAAAGTGTGGGATATTTATTATGATCTAATCCTTCTTTAGCCTTCTTAACGACTTTATCCCTGACCTGTTTGATAATTTCCTTGGTCTTCATGATGGTGTTTTATCACTAAAGTTCTGGAACAAACCTCTTAAACCTTCACAGAGCCGTTGGATTTATACTTGGATTAAATTACATACAGTGGGATTGCAAATTTATAAATTTGGTGACTTTTTACAGGCAGTTTGTTTCACTGGAATTTTATCAGGGGCATCAGAGTAAAGGGGGTTAAATATAAACGTGCACCACAATTTTTGTATTTTTATTTGTAATAGTTTTGAAATCTACCTATCTCTTTCCTGCACTGCTTTATGTTGGGCTATCACATAAAATCTCAGTAAAATGAAAGTGTGAAAAAGTGCAAGAGGCACTTTGACTGAAACAAAACTAAGACACAAATAAAATGATCTGAGATTAATAAACCACTGAAAACAACTGTTTTCTTCTGTATCATCACTTCCAAGTTTCTTGAGCAACATATTTTTTGAGCATCAATTTAAAAGTCATCCTCACGGCAGCGTTTCCCCTTCTGGTCAGATGCTCCACCATGAACCGGGTCTGGGCTGTGTTCAAGGCTCGCCCATACATCAGTAACGTCCTGGGATACACAGCACTCTTTGCCTCAGCGGACCTCATACAGCAGAGTGTTCTGGGTAAGACACCTGCTGCAGGGTTTGCATCCGAGGGCTCAGCTGGCATCGACTGGCGTCAGACCGCCCGGGTGGCGACCGTGGGTTTCTGCTTCCATGCCAACTTTAATTATCATTGGCTCAGATGGCTGGAGAGGATGCTGCCAGGAGGCGGGGTGAAGGTGGTGGCAAAGAAAGTGGTGCTGGATCAGCTGATTGGAGCTCCTCTTACCATCAGTGCTTTCTATGTTGGTAAGCATGCCTCAAAACATATTCAGAAGGGACATAATGTGTCAATTTTTCCACTTTCTGAGGACCTGAATGAAACATTTGTGTCTGTGCATTTTACTCAAAATACTGCAAAATAAAGCAAAGCCATGAATTTACAGATTTTTATTGCATTTGGTTTTCAGAGGGTTGAGAAACACAGCGGACTCCTCTTTACTACTCAATTATTATGGATGGATGGATGGATGGATGGATGGATGGATGGATGGATGGATGGATGATGGATGGATGATAGATTGATGGATGGATGATGGATGGTTGGATGGATGGATGATAGATGATGGATGTGTGGTTGGATGATAGATGTTGGATGGATGATGGATGGATGATGATGGATGGATGATAAATGATGGATAGATGTATGTATAATATGTATGGATGGATAGATGGATGGGTGGATGTAAATAAATATTCAATCTTTGTTTTTCAGGTTTGAGTGTTTTAGAACTCAAAGACGACCCACTTGAAGTCTGGAGACAAAAGTTCTGGACTTCCTATAAGGTTCTTGTGTCGTCTTTGTTCTTTTGGTCTTTGCCAGATTATTGATCTCAACTCTAGCATGAAATAAATCTGATCTGTTCTTTCAGGCTGGAGTGGTGTACTGGTCAACAATGCAGGTGAGATGTGTTTCTGCTGCAGAGATTCAGATAAATAAATAAAACTTTGAGTTTTATAGTGAATCTGTGTTTTCTCTGTTGCTTCTCAGGCTGTGAACTTTACTTTTGTTCCCCCCGTGGCTCGAACGGCGTTCCTGGGAGTGATTGCTCTTACTTTCACCGTCTTTCTGTGTCACCTCAAACAGCAGCACGGCCACAAACCTGACTGAAGCTTTTGCCTTCTGCTGACTTCTATTTACTTTCACACACTCTTTAGTTTTTTGCGCCTGTCTTACAAATAAAAAATCTTAAAATATTGTTAGTGCTGTATACATTTTTATTTGTTTTACAAACTATAATTAAACCAAAATTTAAACTGTTTATTAAGTTATTAGCTCATTTCTTACAAAGATTCAGAAAAATGAAGTCGGTATGTTTAATAATGAGTAAGCATGCACTTTATTGCTTTGATATCAAAAAGTAAATAATTTATTTCAAGTAACATTTATTTTGAAAATCATTATCTTACAAAAATAATTACTTGACTTGTGTTATATGAAAATCATTTAAGCAATAAATAATTTTTGCTTGAATGAGATGTGATTGGAGTACATGTTTCAAATTCATTTTTGTCCCTGACTCAAGTAAGGTAAAACATAAAGTAAAAATACAGTTGTGATCAAATCAAATTTATTTATGTAGCACATTTAGAAACATTCACATATGTTTTTTTTGTTGTTGAGAAAACTAGAAAGCACAAGGGACCATTAAAACAGGCAACGAAATAAAACCAGTTTAAAACATATGAAAACACCTGAAATGAATTGCACAAACAATAAAATATTTAATTTGTACACAGTAATACACAATGGGTGTTTAAGGAGAGTCATCCATGTTTGCTAAAGTATCAGAGGTGGAAAGTAATGTACTCAAGTAAAAGAAGTTAGTCTGTCAAAGTTTTACTCAAGCGCAGTAAAAGTACATGTATAAAATTAAAATCAAGTAAAAAGTAAGATATTAAATAGTTATTTAGAGTAACGTAAAAGTTACTTTACTTTTTTACAGCAGGAGGGCATCTCTTCTGCATGAAGAACAAGAGGACTTTTTGTTTTACAGAAGAGCCTAGGTTGAATAAAATGTATCACAGTTTAATATACAAACTAAGCATGTCCTCAAATGTGATTAATAGATAAGTAAAATGTATTCACAGTTTAGTTAAGTCAAAGTACTAGTATAAGCTTAAATTTTAACTAAAAAATAACAAATTAGACAAAATACATACCCAGTTCCTATGGTAAGTAAATGTAATCTTCTATTTTCCATCTCTGCAGTACATTGTTAAACACAATAATAACAATAATAATACATTAATGTATTATAGATATTTTAATAAGCATTTTTTTCATTAATTCAACCTTTATTTATACAGGTTAATCCCATTGAGCCTCGCAGACTCATTTACAAGAGAGACCTGGTTTTTACTTATAATAATAATAATACTTATTTTAACTGTATAACTAACTATCTAACTAACTAACAAATTTTAACCATTACTTTTATATCTTTTAGATAATTTATTATGTATTTTAGATTGTCTAAAAATGCCAATGGAGGACTCAAGTTCTTAAATTAAGGTTGTTCAATACAAATACAGTTGTTATCTTTGTTTCAATAAAATTAACATTTTACTCAGTGATACTGAATGATGTTTGATGTTTAGTTTTTAAAATTTGATTAATACTCCATTCAAAACCCAGTAGATTTCAATGATTTAGTAATTAAACATAAATTATATCAACGTGGCCCTCTTCGCCTTCATACCACCAGAGGCAGCATCCTGAATCATCACAGCTGTTCTGACATCAACCGGTTTGGTTGCCAGATAGAGAACCAGAGCTCGCGTACTGTCGCTATCATAATTTACTGGTTTGACGTGTCTGGTAGGAACGCGGATGATGTGTGAGTATTTGTATGAATTAAAAAATTATGTGCTCGTAAATACAGGAACTATCTGATATTTTGGATTTAGCTAGCAATTTAGCTAAAATGTCGTAGAAATGCAATATTTATTGTAATTCTGGCAACAGAGTTGCCAACAGGAAGCGCATGCTCTATAACCAATCAGAGAGTCCGAGAGTTCTGCTCGTTGTGTTATCGCGAGACGTCGTCCTTCCTTTTCCCTTTTCGCCCGAGTCCAAGATGGTAGGTACCGCTAGCCTAAATTTAAAAACACCACAGCCCTAGTATCCACTGTCATCCTGTGAATTAAACCACCCCATCCTTTTGTAGTGTATATAAATATGTCCCGAACATAACCGGTGTCGTAATCGTCCATTGATTTTGTGCAATTCGTCCTTTTAATTCATGTTAGCTTACCTCTTTTGGAGCCGACATTGGTGTTGAACCGGGCGCCGTTTAAGTATTGAGTTTGTTTAGAAACGAGCTTCGGAAATTGTTCTGAACTCTAGATATTGGCGTCGTCGCAGTTTATTTAATTGTACGAGTATTTACTAAGATTTAACTTGAATAAAAGAGGCCTCGGGTGTGTTTGCTGTAGCTTTTGGATGTTAGCGTTGTGCTGTGGGATCAACGTGTGTAGCAACCGCAGCTAGTAGAGCATTTACAGGAAGGGGCACAAAAAACAAGTTTTTGTTTTTACCATTTATTGTCATTTGAGTTGGTGGCCTTAAATGCCCCTCTAATACTAATTTAACTGATTGAATATCATACTTTCTGTTGTTGTAATTCGTTTATTCTGTACACCTTGTTAGGGAGTCGACATCAGACACAACAAGGATCGTAAGGTGCACAGGAAGGAGCCAAAGAGCCAGGACATCTACCTGAGGCTCCTGGTTAAGGTAACATCCAGTTATTTTAATATTAACATACTAGTAACTACTTATTAATTGTATGAGTTTCTTGGTATTGATGCTACTTATTTCACTGGTATTCTTTCCCATCTTGTCTGTCTTATAGTTGTACAGGTTCCTTGCTCGCCGCTCCAATGCTTCCTTCAATAAGGTGGTCCTGAAGAGGCTGTTTATGAGCAGGTCCAACAGGCCTCCCATCTCCATCGCCCGTCTGGTCAGTATTAGCTGATGGCTTAAACAGTTTGTCAGCTTTAATATGTAGCGTATGAGGCAGAAGGCTTTATTGTGACTCTTTCAATGTTGACTGTAACAGTTCAGGTCCCAGCACACTCCATCTGAAGTCAAACAGTCGACTTGTGGTCATGTGGTTGCAGGACGTTTGTTTTTGCACACACCTCTCATCGTACATGAGACACAGGTGCAGAGCTCCTGGGAAACCCCTCCCACGGCTGTACATGGCTCTCGCTAGAGTCTCCACTCCATCCCTTCATCTGCCGTTTGGCCACAAATCTATCATGAAGAAATTCACACTTCAGCAGACAGACTCCTACATGTCTGCACAATCTCTATCCAGGAGTTTTTGACCATTTGACTAATTTAGTGTGTTTGAAGAGTCGTTCAGCTGAATGTCCGAGTGCATTAACGCATTGACGAACACGCTCACAAACGTCTGACCCGTCACACAATACTTGACACATATGCCTGAAAGGAAAAAGTTCGTCCCGGGCCTTGCCAAGAAGTAGCGTGCGAAGCTGCTCAGAACAAAATTATGCAATTTTCGGCACTTGGAAAGGAGTATGCAGGGCCCTTTTGTATTTTAAAGTGATTGTGCTCTTGTTTTTTTTTTTAATCATACGAGATTGTGCACTTGGTTCTTATTGCATTTTTGGATCCCAGAATACGATTTGTGGAAGAGTGAGCCTTTTTTGTTGGAGCTAATTTATAAATGTGACCTTGCATCGACCAAGAAAAGATGTGCAACTGTTTAAAGTAGGGGTGCACTGATTGCAGTTTTCTGGCCGATCACCAATTTCTAAAACGTCTGACCTGACGATTCCGATTTTGTTTTATAAGCGGCACTGTCAGGTATTAGAAGATCACAGTGCACCTTCAATTTTCCAATTTTTTGTTGAAAAACATACCCTTGGAGCAATATCCCAGAAACAATACAAACTTGTTTTAACTGGCCATGAGCTAGTGCTCTGAATTATAAATGAAGTTCAGACAATTGTTGTGAAAACAAAAAAAATTGGTAAAATCGGTTTCTCATATAAATATTGGCCGATTTCCCAAAATTAAGGAAACCTGGGCCTTTATCTGTGCATCCCTAGTTTAAAGTTTAGGTTGAAACCCTGTTGAATGGTTATATTCATAATAAAAAATTTGGAATGTAGTTACATTTGTTTTTATTCAGGTTGGGTTTGTTTACTTTATTGTTTTGCTACAGAAACTGCAGTGAATGTAACTTTTTTCAGGAAATGACGTCAAACCAGATAGAACTGAAAACTGTTCAGTGTGTCCATTAGCACTATACAGTTGATCACTAGCACATTCAAGATTTTGCTTTAGTGAAATGTCATCTGTTTACTGTCAGTTTTTCAGCCCCTGGGTGAACTTTACCTGTTTTATTTTGTGGATCAGATCCGTAAGATGAGGATGGCCGGCCGCGAGAACAAAATTGCTGTAGTTGTGGGAACGGTCACTGATGATGTCAGGATTCAGGACATCCCCAAGCTCAAGGTTGGATTTTTTTCAAGCAGAAGAATCTATTTCATCATATATAGTTTATTTTATTTTATTTTTTTTATTATTATTATTTTTTTAACAAATATGTAAACATAACATTATGATGCTTTAAATTTCCTGTCACACAGATCTGTGCTCTCAGGATAACCGATGGCGCCCGCCGCAGGATCCTTAAAGCAGGTGGTCAGGTGATGACGTTTGACCAGCTGGCTTTGGCTTCTCCCAAAGGTCACGGCACAGTGCTGCTGTCAGGTAACTCAACTTTTCATTTATCTTTAAGAATAGTTGAAGTGTTACATTTTTTCATTTATATATTTTCTTAAAAAAAACACTAACCAGCGTTGTTTAAAGATGCGTTCATGGGGTCGTGATACCGCCAGAAATATCAATAAGTTGTACATAAAGAAGGAAAGACCAATTTTCCAGGTTTTGTTTTGATTTCTGTTTTCTGCTGCTTCTCGTCAGGACCCCGCAAAGGCAGAGAGGTGTACAGGCACTTTGGAAAAGCCCCTGGAACCCCTCACAGCCACACCAAGTATGAACACACTGAATATAAAACCTCAAACTACGTCACCGTTTAAAAACTGGAGCCTTCTTTAATAATATTTAGTGTTCTTCAGCTCACAGTGCAAGTTTGTCTCCAGTCTGATGTTTTCTAAAGTAATAATTTAATATTTACAGAGGGTTGGTTTGATCAGATAACTTTTCCCAACAAGTTTATACATTTGCATTTGAATACACTCTTAAGAGCAGTGAATTTATCAGATGTTCACACCTACACAGTCTTAACTATACTTGCTGACATGAAATGGAAAACAGCAGGTTCTGTTCCTCGTTCGTACGTTGGTGGCTACTTGTTCGTTTTCAGAGCCAGCTGCAGACAGTGCCTTAATGTTTCGATGTTGCTGCTGTGATTTCTCACTTTAAACAAGTTAAAGCAATTTATATTTCTGTTTGTGCCATTATGAGTAGAAACTAATACAGTTTGCCGGACATGTTAGGTAAATGTTTCTGGCAGACAGCGTTCAGGAGAAGGTGCGCAGGTGATGGTAGTGAGGCCTCTGAAGCTCTGAGATTCAAAGCTTCAGTCTAAGAACAGAGACATCTGGTGGCCAAGGAGTCAGACCTTTAAGGAGAAAACCCCAGACACCCATTCTCTAAAGTAGATTTCAGATTAAATAAAACAAGTGGCTCCTCAGGAAGTCTGTTTTGGTCAAACTAAACTCAGCATACAATAATGGTCAATCAGGTCATCTGGACAGTTTATTTTTGTGGAAAGACGTTTCGCCCTCTATCCAAAGGGCTTCATCAGTCTGAGGAGTCCCAAGTAAACTGCTTTCCCAGGACAACAGTTTACTTTGGACTCCTCATACTGACGAAGCCCTCTGGATAGAGGGCGAAACGCAACAAAAAAGAAACTGTCCAGAGGACCTGATTGACCATTATTGGATTTTGTACCTGGATGATTGAGCATGAACTTTGATAAACTCAGCATATTTTTATTGAGCAGCACGTGTAGATCACCCTGATGTCATGGGCTGATAACGAGAGAAATTTGGCTCAGTTTGTCTCAATTAATCTGGGGTACCTCTGGAAAATCTGTCTGTATGTTGTTTTTAGGGTATTCCCATGAAAGTGAAAACTAAAAAACACATTTGGATAACAATTTCCCAGCTGGTATTGAAAATATCTTTGTTAGTGAGCAGGGATGCTTTTCTGCTCAAAGGTGTTGATTGCACTACTCAGAAAGGTGCTTCAAAGCATTCTTTAGGATTATACTTGAACATTTAACTCAAGAAACCATAAAGAAGGTATTTATTCATATTTTGAATAAAAAAAAATCCAATGCACTGTCACGTTGCAGCTCAATTCTTGCTTTGATGAGCGTCAATAAATAAATGACAGAAAACTAAAAGTAAAATGTTCATTTAGGAAAGTCAATTTATGGCTCTTGTGTAATGAAGTAATAATAATTTTGACTAAATGAACAGTGGAATGAAGCAGGGATGTCCAAATTTATGTATGTCATCCTACAGTGGTGTTTAGACACGATATCGACAGCAATAATTGGGATCACGAGTCTGAAAATTACTTTGGGGTTAACACATACATACATACACACAGTTGGAAAAAAATTCATGTAATTCACATAAATTTAATGAATATATATATA